CCCGATATACACAGTAAGGTTCATAAATCTTCTGCTCACTCATATAAATATTATATTTTTCTTCACTTAATGATTTTCCATTAGAAATGCATTTGTTTCATGTAAATAAAATACAAACAATTATAGTATAGCTTGCGGGGGAAAATTGGACAAACACGACACTTCAACTTTTGCAAACTTATGAAGGAATAATAGACATCTATGCCCTTAAGAGTTATCTCTATTATCAGAGCATCAATGAACCTTAAGGAAGGTCAGACATCAAAGAAAGATATTCTTTGGAAAAATTGTCGTATAGAGGTGTTTATAAACTAAAAATAAAGAAAAAACTTGCCCATAATATTCTCCCTTGCTTAATTTTAATCTGATTTGATAAACAGAGTACAATTTTCTATTTCAAATCGTGCCCTTTACTTTAGATTTCCTTTTCTTTAATTTTATTTGAACGTGTGGCACAGTGTTTTAAACGTCTGCTCTAGGGTCGGAAGGAGTTGATTCTTACTTTGCGGGTTTGAATTCCACTGTGGGACTTGGAGAAATCTGAACTTTTAGATGAGACTACATAAACCGAAGTCCTTTGTCGCAGTAGGTGTTGGCACAAAAAGATCCCTCACAGCTCAGTGGCCGTTAGTGCCGATAATAGGACAGAAATTTGCAGCTCTCCACCTGCAACTGTTGGCTTCTCTATTTGAGTGAAAAAAATTTTTAAGAGGGACGTTCAAGAGGGACGTTAAACAATTTTGTACATCACTTTTCATTCCCAAGAACTTTATTTTCGCGTAATTTCGCGAGACGGTATGCTCGCGAAAATTTCATTCTGGCGTATGAAAGAATTACTTAAGATTATATAGAGCAATGACCGCAATTCGTGACAATTTTGTCTCGCTAATAAAGAGTCAATGACTATATCGCGAAAATAAGGTGTCGCGAAAATTAAGTGATTTACAGTATACAATCAATCTTCAATTTTACATCTCACTGCACATCACACCAGGTGTATAATAATTTCCACTAGAAAAGAACTCAGGGAAGGGAATTTTATTATTGTTTTAAATAAGTGTTTTGAGAAAACAATGACAGTATGAATTAAACTGAGAGTTTTTATCAGAGTTGTTTCCTATTGATTGGTATCTTTTATCTTTGTTCTTTGTTTTATCATCACATCCTAGAATCCAATAGAAATATTCACTGAAAGATTTGAAAAAATGACGTTGACACCTTGTCAGAATGGATTTAATGTATCAGATCCATGTTAAAGTCGTGTATTAAAAGATTGAGGGGCAATATGAAAACCATCTATCCTTCTGTGTTCAATACTAATAAATGATAAAAGCGGGTAACAACATTGTCTTTGTTTGTAAGGCTCATTATATAAATTGTATTTTAGAAGAACTTGGATTTAATTCTACAAGTGGTAATCCTAGTTATACTCAGACTTCCCTTTTTAAGGAAGAAATTCTTCGAAATCATATGTCAGTTTTAAATTTTTTTAATATTCCACAGAGCCAAAATGATTTGAACTACCCTATATATATATATTGGAATCCGAAACTTCATAAAATCCTTACAAACAAAGATACATTGCGGGTTCCAGTAAATGTTCAACCAAGCCCCTTTCGTTACTCCTCACTAAAATATAGACAGTAGTGAAGGAAAACTTCGAGTACTGTGCAGCAATACATACAAAAAGTGGTGTGAATCAGATGTGGATACTAAAAAATTCCGAAGAATTTTTGGACAATTTGAAATCACAGGAATTTACCAAAATAAACAGCTTAAAAGCTTACGACTTTTCAACAGCCATTCCCCATGATAAATTAAAGTCTAGGATTTTTATATCATTGACAGCTGCTTTTTCAATAAAAATGGAACTCGTAAATTTATTTGCCTGGTTATTGGTCAATTGCAAAATTGTTTTGTTAAAACACAGTCTGATTGCACACACAAGTACTCTGAAGTTGACATCAAAGAAATCCTTGAGTTTCTGATTGACAATATTAATGTGGGTTTTGGATACCAGGTATTCCAACAATCTATTGCAATTACCAACCATGGGTACCAATTGTGCTCCGTTATTAGCAGACCTATTTTTATATTCACATGAAGCGGAATTTCTGCAAAATCTTACAATTGAAAAGAAGAAAACACTTGCTCTGGCTTTCAACTCGGCATATATCGGCTACGTATTGTCAATTAACAATGGTCATTTCCATTCCTACGTCGGTAGGATATATCCTGATGAGCTTGAGATAAAAGAAACTGCAGAGTCTGACACATCTGATTCATACTTGCATATTTTACTTGAAAGAGACGTTAATCGTAATCGAACAACCAAGCTCTATGATAATCTTGATGTCTTTTCAATTGTCAACTTCCCTTTCTTATATAGTAATATACCTTCATCACCTGCATACGGAGTGTATATATTTCGGTTGATTTGGTACACAAGAGCATGCTCTACGTATGAACAATTTCTAAATCGATGTTGATGAAAAAAATATAAACAGTCTCATTTAAAGTCATAATTTCGTAAATTCTATGGTTGATACAATGATTTTGTCAGTAAATACAATTTATCATTGAGGCAAATGCTGACTGGTCTTTCATACTGATTGTTAGTCCATTATTTATACACTCAATTGGCGACGGATTTTTCCGTTATTTGCCGATCATGACAAGGGGCACATGGCAGGTGTGACCGGTCGGCAGGGGATGCTCACTCTTCCATGGCACCTGATCCCACCTCTGATTTTTCTGAGGTCCGTGTTTGCTCTTCTACTATTTTGTATTGTTTGATGGACATTGAGATTGAATACTGTTCGTTATCTCCATATCCTTCTTCAGACAATAAAAATTGATAGGTTTAATTACTCTATACTTTTATCATAAATTACCAGCAAAAGAGTAAGTACTTTCGGAAGACGATACGTACATAGCCTACAATGTCTTCGAACAGATACATAAAGAAGAGCAAATTTCCAAAAATATGTATTAAGTATTATATATTATGTATTAAACAATGCATTCTACTGGTTACAATAAATTTGTTTAAAATGTTAATCCTAAAAGTGATAAAAATAACCAATTTGTCTCAAATAGAAGATTAAATACTCTGTTTACATTTTTGTTAAGCATGTTTTTTTAAAACATGATCTCTGAACTTATCAGCTTTTCCCAATTCCTTCTACAGATATCTTAAAACTCAGTCTAAAATAAAAACTTTTTTCTTTACTTTCACCATATATTTATCTTGTATATATTTTATTTTCCAGTTTTTTTTTAATGTCAACTCTCATATTTATATCAAATAAGTATACAAAGTATATTCAAATATATATCTTCACTCAAGTACCTTTTATAAATACCGTATAAAGATATCAAACCTAAAGACACACACATTAACATATACACATTTAAATACAAGTGAAAATTCTTTTTATAATTAATGATTTTAATATAGAAGAAAAGAGGAGAGAAAGAAACAGAAATGGAAAGAAAAACAAAAACAAAAAAATGAATATACTGTATGGATCATTTTCAAAAAAAAAACAATTTTTGAATGACAGATATTTGAAAAATGAAAGAAGTTTTACTATGATTTTTTTTTCAACTTGATTGAATAATACAGTAATAAACTACTAAAATCCACTGCATTGCAGAAAAGAAAATATTTCTTTAAAAAATATTGATATTTTATCTGAGTCATTAAAACTTAAATGTTCTTCCTGTTACTTTCATAAAAAAAACTATAAAACTCTATTTCAAAATTTTCATAAAATAATCTTTTGTACATTTAAAAAAAAATGAAAAAAAAATTATCATGGAATGCCAAAATGTTTTATTGGTTAAGAAAAAAGAAAGAAATGTTAATAAAAACATGATTTTGTTAAAGCTGGCAAATTTGAGACAATGAAAGACATTTATGTCCATCCTGTCACGAAATTTAATTGTAAAGTGCTATTAATATATTTATCACTTCATTTATTTTCATTTAAGGTACTCTATACTGTTGCCAAATTAAGATTTTTTCAAAATAAAAAAAAAAAAAACAAATGATAAAACTTAAATAGGTATATAAATACCAGGAAAATTTGTCCTTCCTGTTAAAATTTCTGTCCATTCTGTTACAAGAGTGCATGTTTAGGTTATAATAGCACTATTTGAAGCACAAATATATTTCAATTTGATTTACGAAGTTTTTAAGCATGTGTAATTAAACTTATAGTACTTAGAAAAATAAAAGTAATTGTTTTCATTTTTAAAACTCAAGATATGAAGTCCAGTTTTCCTTACTGTTACCATGTTAACGATAACTGGAATGACAGTAACAGGATAGACGTTTCTCATATAAATCACCCGATATTTAGTATAACGTACTCTTTTTGCATCTTTTTGAAACCATTTCTTTGTAATTAAGTTCATCTAATAGTTCTAGCAGAATAAACAATTTAAAGAGTACTTGCATATTATGAAGGTCAAGAATGGCATAAACTGGTAGGACATTCACTTCCACCTTCTGAATGTTAAATGCACAACCACACAATACTAGTATTTAGTGGGCGGCATAAGTAAAACACCCATATTAAATTAATTTGAGAATAAATTCAATTACTATGGGGTGCAAAATTTGTACATATCTATCATTTAACTAAGTGCGTTAAAAAAATTTTGCTAATGTTACATGGTTTACTTTATGTTAAATTTTACCTGGAATGCATGGAATATTTTTTATAAAACACCTGTGAGATGATCATAAAACTTATAAGCTGTATGATCATATGTATATTAACCAACGGGGAAATTCACTCTTAAGAATATTTTTCTATCATTCTGATCAAAAGACAAAAAAGGGAACTTTTTTTAAAAATGACCCATATAGTGTTTTCCCTTGACATTAGGGTGGAGGGGTTGAATTATAAACATTCGTTTCTTGAAAACTTTATACATATGTAACACGTAAAAATGAATTATAACATATAATCACATATGCTCTGCAAATTATTCTCAAACTCTGTATATTTACATTGTTTCAAAAGTAAAATAATTTCTCCTAATTTACTTTCCAGATTTAACAGTTACATGTAAAATCAATATTGTCAAACGAATCATGTAGGTTATCAATATGTTTAAAAAATGTTCTTAATTAAAATGTTTTATTTTCAATCAAACTGCCATATATGTTATTAATTTGTTAATGAGCATGCATAATCATTGTTCATAGCATGCACATTGAACTTTTACAAATTTAATTACATGTGTATGAGAAAACCGGAGAAGGTAGTAATTGGACCATTGTGGTAATAGCCAGAACCAGAGTGACGTTTGATCCACACAGCGTCTCCCTTCTGAATGTTCAGCACCGCCAGGTTTGGACCTGATTCATAAGAATCATTATTATTGTAACTATAGGCCATGGTTCTGACTTTTGTTGATCCGTTCAACACAATGTCTACATAAATATGTTGTGTACTATAGCTCTGAACATTCACGAAGAAGACGTACATCCCGGAGATGGGAGCTGTAAATATTCCGTTACTTGGATTATATCCATTTCCTTCATTGGTGATGACGGAAGGAAATACCAGTCTTCCACCGTTCCATGATGTGCTGGTGGAGGACATTGAGGCGGAGAAACCTACCTTCTTTGTCTTACCTACAAATTCAATTGAGGTTTAAGGCCTTAATTGTTGAACTCAAGATGAAAGGTGTCCAATTATTTCAAATTATGTGCGATCAAAAAATTCCATTTCTTGACTTGAATGATTAAAAAAAATAGAATTAGAAGTTTCCTTCTTCTTTCTTAGGAAAATACGATTTCATTTCTTAAAACACA